ACCATTGTTCGTAATCTTCAATTTACAACAGAAAATAAAAAAATAGATTAAGCCCCTGTTTGTTGGGGATTAAAATTAAACTTTTACTCAATTTTGATAAAAATTAGAGCGTGTTTGATTGGTATGGAAATTATCTTTTAGAAAAGAAAATGTTTTCCTGAAAAATAAAGAAAATTAGACATTTTCAAAAGTTAAAAAATATTTTCAATAGAAAAAAAATAACAATCAAATACTCCAAAGTAGAAATTTGGTGAAAAACTGACATTTTTAATGGAAAATAAATATAATTAAACACATTCTTAATGAATTGTGTGACTGAAAAGTTGTAAATTTCATGAAACATATAATTAAATTTAATTGTTGATTTTGTTTTAAATTAAAATCTAAATTTTAATATTCATCAAACATGGCCTAAGCGAAAGAAAATTAGAAAATAATTGGAATAGAAGCTGGCATTATCAAGACTTGGCCCGTTGTCGACGCTTGTCTGAAAGGGTAAAGCAAGTGGACCCCAAATATATGTAGTGTAGTGTGAACGCTACATTTTTCCACCACGTGATTTTGAATTTGTTTGTGAAGATGCCTCCTCATTCAATTCAATACGTTCACATTCTACTAAATTTCCTAGAATATTCAACAATTTACCTGTGTTGTTTCGTTAAAAATCAAATTTTAGTAAATTTAAATAAAAATTAATAAAATATGCTGTAAAAATGTTGATAAACAGTGAATACATGAAATAGGTGATTAAAATTAATTGTTAATTTTGAGTTGAATTTTTATCAACTTTTTAGCTAAATTAAATTGGGGCTAAAGAGAAAAGTTAATTTTTAATTTTTTTATGTTTAAATTGTGAGTACGGTTTAATATTACATACTTGACAAAATGCAAGCAAACCGGCTTCATCGCAAGTTAATTGGTCAACCCGATTTGAATTTTAAAACTAAGCATCATATGTTGTCACATGACTATTCTCTAAAGCCATCTCCATTAGAGATTCCAAAACACCATTTTGCACTATAAATGCCTCCAACATAACACCATACGTTATACCAACGCTATTCACTTTTACACCAAAATGGTTCAAATTCAATTTTGTCCTTCTCTTCCATTTTACATGTGACTATTTTTAAAGGAAGAGAGACATTGACATCATTGAGATCAAGAAATTGCTAAAACCAAGGATCTTGAAAATCTAAATTCTCTAAGGACTAAAATCTGTTATGAAAAACTACACAGTTGAGATAAAAGCTAATATCGTTAAAAATATAACCAGTTCCCATCA